CCCCCCCACTCTGTTCTTAGTGGCCACTTTTTGTTTTTTCCTTCAAAGAGACAGAGATGCGAGATTGAAGCACGTGGCACTGGGACGTGAGTCACAGAGAAGAGCGCTGCTGAAAATAAAACATGTTGCCGTAGCGCTGGGGGGGGGGCGCGCAAGGACGGTTTGGCAACGGCAAGACTCTGCGACTGCCTGCACTGGTTATTTTCTTCCCTTTTTTTAAAACAAACACCAGACGGCCGTCCGGCTGGTATGACAATATCACTTCGTGGATTTTTGACAAGCGCTCCATTCCCAGCCCCCCCCCCCCCCCCCCAGCACAGAAAATCTGAATTAGAAATCCAAGGCGACAAATGGATTTTTATTTTGTTCTAGCTGTTGAAAATGAACTTTTTTTCCCTCGGTAAACAAAGCTTCGGGGGCTGTGTAAGAAGGAGAGTCTTGGCCTGCTCTCTGATGGTAATGATGGCTATTTTTAAGCCTCATGAGCAGAGCACATTTCTTAACGCCCGGACCTGTTACAGCCCTGTCTCCCGTACTTCCAGCTAGAGACTGGGGGGGGGGGAGGGGGGTGTTTCATCCAGGGCAACACAGGTCTCTAACGGCAGTCGTGAAACAGTGCGGGAACATTGGAGAACATAGGCCACAGCAACTTACATAATACGGGCCGGACCAGGGTAAATTCTGCAAACACGAGTAACGTAATATAAAAGGAAAAAACTGGGCTGGCATCACATGTCCGCAAGGCTGCAAAAACAGCGGAGCGGAGAGGAAATCGCAAACAAACAAATCAGCAAACAAGCAGCAAATGCGGACGGCAAACTCATCACTCGTGAGGGAAACCCCTTTCTCTTCAAAGCTGCACAGCTGACCACATCCTGGAAGGAGCATGCTCCCTGCGTGCATGCGCGTGCGCGCGAGTGCGGCGGCATGAGAGCGAAACCCTGGCAAAAAGAGCTCACGCACGAACGTTTGCCTGGTCCGCTCTAGCTGCCCCACGGACCTCGGGGCACGACCTTCACTCACACATCCTCGTAGGACACCTACCTTACCTGCAAGACTGGCTCCGGCGGGGGGGGGGTCCCAATAAACTGCAGAGCTGGGGAGTAACTATCTAGGCAACTGTGATCCAAAAGCACGAGCGATGCCACAGCTAACTGCTACCCTCAGTTTCCTAATAACATCACAGCCATATTGTCCCTCCACCTGAAACACGAGATGCTTCCCGGAAACTTCTCCCCATCCTTAAATCCATTTAAAAAATTAATACCACTTTACAACATTGAGATCATCATCAGACAGCCATACTATTTATTTTTTTTTAATTTGGCTTAATTTCTCCTTTTAAATGATCTCTCTCACTCTCTCACATACACACTATAGAGTAAAAAAAGATTAAATCCCACACATCCATGACCATGATAAGTAAACAATTCAGCATTACGGAAAAATGAAAACATATAATTGACACAAAGATGACTCGATGCCATCAGCTCAGTTTGAAGGTACTAGTTAAGTCACCCTAAAAACGTGTGCCAACCTCGCCCCGATTCCGGAACCTTTTTTAACTGTCCGGCAGGGCAAAGCCACTCGGGTACCAGCGATGGCCGGTGGCTTCACCGTGCCGCTGGGGGCCGATCGGGGCAGCAGCAGTGAAAGCGGAGCAGCTGTGAGGAGCCTCCAGGCCGAGCCGGCTAAGACGACCACCTTTACGGCAATACCTGGCCGGCTAGCTGCAGGTAGAGGGGAACGAATGCCCACCTCCTGCCGATCGATTCGGGGGGAGTCCAGTGGGGTGGGGGTCTATAATTGAGTAAGGATAATGGAGTTGAGTGACCCACCGTTATGAGGTGACAAAGGTCTACTAGGCCTGCAGTGACCCACAGCCCTCCGGGGGAGTGACAGTACCACCATCTGCCCATCTAGAGCCCAGCTTGGGGTCACAGAGGCCGGATTACGTAGAGACCCCCGCCCACCGTGGCTGGACCCCATTGGCACCGTGTCCCTGAGGCATCGACTGAGCATAGCAGCCGTGATTGACGCAGCCACTGAGATTGCTGCCACTCTCGGTTCTGGCCTAGCTTCCGCAGGTCCATTCTGTTGGTCCATTTCAACAGGCCTGATAAAAAGGTACAAAAAGTTCGGAAGCCCCCCCTCCCCCCATCGCGAATGCAAAGCCCGTTGTATAACTGTTAAGTGTTCTCTAAGCTCAAAGCACTGTGATCTCATCTGGCCCCCTTCAGGCCAGACTGGGCACTGCGCCGGGAGGCTGGCAGCTCCATCTGGGCTTTGCCTTAGCTGAATTATCGTTGTCATCGCCTCAGGCAAGCAGCAGATGCCCACATGCCACTGGCACACGCCGGGGGAGGGGCGGCGGGGTGGTGAGGAGGCAGGGGGCCATGGTAATGACCTGGGGAGGCTGGTCTCCTGTATGCAGTGACTCGCACCCATCCCCCTGGTGGGACCCCCCCCAAGTCCTGACCCACCTGACCCAGCCTGTAATGGAAAGTTCTGGGTGACACGGCAATACTGTCCTGCCTTCTAGCATCTCTGTGACACAGAAAGCGAAAGGCAGGACTGCTGGGGTGGGGGCCCACAACAGCGACGCTGACGGGGGGGCGGCACTCGCATCCCTTTTAACCTGCCACCCCCGTGTTTGTTTGCACGCCGTGCGGCAGCCGACCTTACGTGCCCTCAAAACTTGGAGTGGGGGGAGGGCAGCGTGACCTTTAGGCGTGTTGCTTGGCGGGGGGGGGGGGGGTATTACTCATCACGACACCGCTAACCGCAGGAGCCTATTGAGCCGCCCTCTAACAAAGGCTGCACTCCCACGTTGCCATCTGCAGTGTCACACGCCACGGTCAGGCCCCCCCGCTCAACCCAGTCACTGCCACCGGCTGGCACAAGAGGTCTCGGGTGCCGGCCTAGGCTCAGGTGCCCCCCCCCCCCCGACTCACACACACAGCTCAGGCATGGCCCCCGGACCATTACCATAGTGGCTAGCGTCACTTCCACCTTCATGCACCCCCCCTCCCCCACATCTCGATCCAGACCGCGCTCCCCCATCCCCTGAGCCTCCGCCCGTGTGGGCACCCTGATTAATGGCCGGGCCCTTGGGTGGGTGGGAGACGCCAGTCTGCCCATTACCGCACAACAGCGTTGCAAATGGCTTCAATTACTTGTGGGAGCGCCGCCATGCTGAGTCGGCACTATCGGTGCTGGGGGGGGAGGGGGGAGCATCCGCAGGGCGGCTCCCCCTGGGACCGCCGGACCCTGGAGCTGCCTGCTCCATCCACCTCACCTGAATGCCCTTCTCACCATCAGGCCCGGAGCAGCGTATACTGTAAGGAGTGTGTAGTGGGACTGCATGCTCAACGTATACTTTACGGCACATAGACTATAGCCAGGCTTTATATAAACAGGCACTCATCCTGTTCCTAGGTTCCCTCATCGAGGGCCGGCCAACCCGTTAGACCACTGGAGCGGTGGGCTAGGAAGCCAGTTCTTAACAAAGCAACACAACTACACTCATATGTCCAGGGCTGGTGGCAAGGTTGAAAGCAGAGAGGAGGTGGGGTAGACACCTTGTATGGTACAGTGGTCCAGCACAGGCCACACCCTCACAACACAGGCCACACCCTCACAACGCAGGCCACACCCTCACAACGCAGGCCACACCCTCACAACACAGGCCACACCCTCACAACACAGGCCACACCCTCACAATGCAGGCCACACCCTCACAACGGAGGCCACCCCCTCACAACGCAGGCCACACCCTCACAACGCAGGCCACACCCTCACAACGCAGGCCACACCCTCACAACACAGGCCACACCCTCACAACACAGGCCACACCCTCACATGGTGAGCCACAACCTCACACACAGGCTAAGGGCAACTAGGCTGCGCAGACACAGATGAATCTCGGATTGCTACTGACACGCTGACCCAGGATAGAATAAAACTTTTCACTCACACTAGAACAGCAAGCGGTGAGATTCCTTTGAAGTCTAAATGCTTCAGACATTGGCTCAGCTGAACCTTTCTACCTTCACTTTTTGAAGAGGGCTCACCTCTCCTTCAACCGCAAACTGCTTTTTTATCTTCAAAACAACAAATTGAGCTGTTTTGAAAATGTGTTTAATGGACTGTTTACTTGCTGCCGCAGCTGAGGACAAGCGGTTGGTAAAAACCTTCTTTAAACAATTCTCCACATGCAGGAGTCTAACAAAAATGCGAACACGGCTAATTATACAGCTGATACTAGACGCAAAGGTCACCACCTAAGCACTGCTTGTGTGGAGAACTAATTTTACAGAGTTAAATGTTACAGTAAGCCTGAAATAGCCTCAGTGGACTGCTTTAGAGTGCTGTGTTGTAACCTCGGTAGCCTTAGAGTGCTCTGTTGTACCCTCATTATACATACAGCCTTACAGTGGCCTGTTGTACCCTCATTATACAGCCTTACAGTGGCCTGTTGTACCCTCATTATACAGCCTTACAGTGGC